AACCTTTGGATATATGCTGACTAAGGGGGAGTTGGCCGCTGAGCTATATTTCAAATCTGTGGAACTGGACCCAGTTTGGCTGACTCAAGGGACTAATTCTGCTACCTGGAGATTACTGCGTTCTATGAGGCTGGTACTGCTGGGTCTGAAGGGCCACACGGCTTCGCAAGGTACCGTGCGGATATTGGTCGTACCCGTGAATTCACATGGGGTCCCCTGCCCCGACACCGTGGCCACTCCGGGCCTGAGAGCCTAGTTTTACAGGCATCACTGACCCGCTAGGGCCCGTGGCCAGGGGGGGAATGCAGGGGGCGAGCTTCGGAGTATGGGACCCGCATTTTTCAAACTGAAGATGGCAGAGAGCTGCGGGAAGAAAAGGGGGGARTTCRGACAGAGAGGGCGAGCGTGCACGGTGTTCCCCGCGGAACGTCCTCGGAGCTTGYGGCAAAGGGAACCGTGCGAGTCGGGTGGAACGCTCTGGCACGGAGGCACAGGTTGTTACGGGCCAGGGGGGCGTTCACTCACTAGTGCTGAGATGGTTGAGTTCAGGTAAGATGTGGGACCAGTATACGGTTGGCGAACGCCAAGTTGAAACAGGTGTGTGACGAGTCGATGGGCATGTCTCGCGAAGATGTAAGTACCGCTGACGTGGTCACTGCCCTCATCACCACCTTTATTATTAAGAAGAATACCCACTGATCCTCAGGTTTCGCCCAATCCGATTGGTAAAGACAACAACGAACCAGCACTAACCCCCTGTAATCAGGTCAGGGCATTCGAAAAAGATCAGATTAAAGAGCCTTACAGATTGGCTCGCTGGTCCGCTGTAATCTGGGCATTTTGAGAGAACAGATTAACGAGCCTTTCAGATTGGCTCGCTGGTTCGCTGTAATCTAGGCATTTTGAGTGATCAGATTAACGAGCCTTTCAGATTGGGTCGCTGGTCCGCTATAATCTGGGCATTTTGAGTGATCAGATTAACGAGCTTTTCAGATTGGCTCGCTGGTCCGCTATAATCCGAGCATTTTGAGAGAACAGATTAACGAGCCTTTCAGA